ATATTTATAGAACTTTCGTGTAACAAACCGAAACTCCCATTTGGTGCAACAATTCGTGGTCGTTCTTATTTGTATCAAGATCAATTGACATATGTGTGTCCTGGTGGTAAAAAATTGGGATTAATCACATGTCAGGCCGACGGATATTGGAGCGATCCACCAAATTGCAATGATAATTAACAAAAGAACATATTAATAAAAGTAATTATACGTATAAATTTTAATAAACCATAGCAAATTTATTTAATCATTTTTTTATTAAATAACCACAATTATTAAATCTTTCAAATTTTATAATTCTATTTCGATTTACGCATAAGTATGTTTCCACAAAATAATGTTATTGTACAAGTGAAATTGTTCTACTAATGATTTAAATTTGAATATATTATATATAATATATTTTATGTGTACTTAAATATAATTTCAGATCAAATTAAAACTAACTTTGATTAATTATTAATTTTAATTATTAATAACTCTTTAATACTGAACATGTATGTTTTCTTAATAAGAAAAAACAATATATTATAGCATATAATGCTTAAAAAATATTGAGAATGTTATAGAATTAATAGCAATTTTTTTTCAATATAATACAATACATAAAAAGAAAATATAAATACATATAACAACACATTGATATATTGATAATTCATCACAAATACATATGTGATTATATAGTACACGGCTTTTTGATATAAATAGGATTTATACATGTATAAACACACTGTATCAGAATAGTTGAGGAAGAGCAATGAAAAATAAAAACATGAAAATAATTTGTTATATGAAAAATTTGAGTTATTTATATTTATCTAATATTAGTATGATAAAAACGGAGCACCTTTATGATATTTAATTTGTATTAGCATGGCTATATTAAAAGGAATTATCCTTTTTTAACAAATTTTCATTGCTCAACATTAATTTCTTGGATTTATATCTAACATATTACATAATTAACATAAAAAATTTAACGAAATATAATTTCATTCACTGAAATTTAAATGCTTATACTGGCTTTTAAAAATTTGATAAAACTAATTGTACAAAATCATTGATATATATTCATTTAGAAAGAAAAAATATAAATACTATTAATCATTTAAAAAAAAAAATACCTGAAAGCTTAGCCATACTAACATAATAATTTATCTATATTTTTGAACATTTTTCAGAGTTCTGATTTTGCACTATGAGAATATTTAGGTTTTAGTTCTTCAATTCGTTTAATAAAATCCGTTTTTTCTATGCAACCATCACATGTTTCATCCCAGTCACTTAAAATCTTCCTTAAATCACGTACTTTAAGTTTTTTCAAATCAACAGTATTAATATCAATTTGTTTTTCTAAAATTAAATAATAATATTGCATTTTAAATATTAGAAAAATAATTCAATTCAATAACATGAATATTTAAATATAAAATTAATTAAAAATAAACATACCGTATCTCAAATCACATATTTGAGAATCCTTTTTTTTCAATTTTTCACATATTTTATTTGCAGGCATGGACCAAGATATAGGTTTACTCAATTCACTTAAAATACCTGTGGCAGATTCTTCTAGTCCACCTAAATAATAACACTAAACAAGAACAAAAATTTAATTCATTTAAATATAAACTATATATTATATCATAATATATATTAAATATTGTTTTATTGATTTATTACATTAATTAAATAAAATACTTACAAATCTATTTTCCTTAGATTTAGTACCTTTACAAAATTCTTTAAATGCTGCTTCTATTTTTTTTGTATCTATTTTCACATCTTCACTTAAAGTATTGACAAACCTTTCCACAGTATTTATACATACTAAAATATTATGAAATTTAGAAAATCAATCAACTCAAACTAAATAAAAAATTAAAAAAAATATTAATTTACCTTCACATTCATCATTTTTCAAAGCTATGACAGTATATATTAATCCAATAACAATAGAAAGAGTTAATAACACTGAACTATTCATTTTATTTATTTTCTGTAAAATAATTTTTCAATTTTATATTTTTTAATTTCATAAAAGAATCTGGTATTATATAATTTAATAAAAAAGAACTTGTATAAAGATTTATTATCAAATAAAATGGATTTTTTCTTACAAAATAATTAGATATATAAATTAAAAAAATTAATTAAATATATTTTTTCTGTTTAAATTTAATTATATAATCTTTTAAAAACAAATATTAATATAAAACTATTTTTATTTAAAAAATTTATTAATTTAGGAATGAAAAAATAATAGGAATAAATAAAAAAAATAATACTATTTTTAATAGGTTAAAATATATAATAATGAAACACAACTTACGTATTACTGTGCTAATAAAGTAATTTTTATATCACGTACAATATATTCTTAAGTTGTAAAATAAACACACTAAAGTTTTAATTCATTGAGTTTTTATTATAATGAAATTTTTAATTTAACTACATAAATTTAATCCACGCTTTATTTTATACACGTTGGATTCTGTCAAAAGCCCGGAATCCCAGCTGGCGCATTCTGATTGGTTCTAATATACTATGACTCACATTTAATATCGTGCTTTGTGATTGGTTGATATGAATTGTTAAAAAATAAAAAGGGGGGATTGACCGATAGAGAATATGCACATAAACGCAAAAGCGAAACTAAAAAAACATATGTATGCAATATGGCGCCACGCAGAGAATTTCGATTTAACCTTAATTCAATTAAAATATCAAAGAAAAATACTAAAAATTGGTACGAAAATTATTTAGATTGGAGAAAATTCATTTCCTTATTCACAGATCCAAAAAAATTATTTTTGATCGGAAGATTATTTATTATTTTGGAAATTATTGTGAATATATTAGTTATCGAAAAAGTACCATATACAGAAATCGACTGGAAAGCTTATATGCAAGAAGTTGAAGGTTTTTTAAATGGAACATTGGATTATTCAAGATTGAAAGGTGATACAGGACCATTAGTCTATCCTGCAGGATTTGTTTATATATTTTCTATATTATATTTTATTACGGATCATGGAACAAAAATAAAAATAGCACAATATTTCTTTGCAATTCTTTATATCGTGCTACTTATGTTGGTTTTCCGAATATACGCGAAAACTAAGAAAGTTCCTCCATATATTTTGATCATTATGTGTTGTACATCTTATAGAGTTCATTCTATATTTGTTTTAAGACTTTTTAATGATCCAATTGCAATGATATTGTTATTTGCTAGTCTTAATGCATTTTTAGATGATCAATGGTATTTAGGTAGTATTTTTTACAGCATGGCTGTGTCTATAAAAATGAATATTTTGTTATTTGCACCAGCACTTTTTATAGCTTATATATGTAATTTAGGAATGATCAAAACAATAATGCATTTATTTATATGTGCCTTAATTCAAATAATTTTAGGTTTTCCTTTTCTCTTTCATAATCCATTTGCATATATAAAAGGTGCTTTTAATTTTGGAAGAATTTTTGAATTTAAATGGACTGTAAATTGGAGATTCTTACCAGAACATGTTTTTATTCATCCATATTTTCATATATCATTGTTAATCTTACATATATTAACTTTAATTTATTGTATACCAACATGGATAAAATATATGAAATCCTATGCAAAATTAAAGTATATGGAGAAAAATCTACAACCTCAACTAAAAAAAAAAGAAAAAATAGATATGTCTACAGTGAGTCAGTTGTTCATTTTTCCAATATTTGCTGCAAATTTTATTGGTATGACATTTAGTAGATCATTGCATTATCAATTTTATATATGGTATTATCATACATTGCCATATATTGCATGGTGTACAGATTACAAGACTGTAATAAAATTAACTATTTTGGGTATAATAGAATTATGTTGGAATATTTATCCAAGTACCATTTTTAGCAGTATTTCATTACATATATGTCATTTGATATTATTATTTGGTTTTATGAATAAAAAATGTACTAATGAAAAAAGAAAATAAAGCTTTTAATACAATATATTTTTATACTTTCTTTTTCATTTTTCCTAATATTGATTTAATTTAAAAATTAAACACAGTTTTTATTTTCAATTTAAATTTAAAAGAAAAAAATATTTTTATTTTATTAAAATTTCATTATTGTAATTTAAATAAAATTAAACTTTAATTTTAAAAATTATTTTAATCATAATGTTAATTGCAAAACAGTAATATATATATGAATTAAAATATAAAATTTTTTTTAATAAATATGTTAATTATATTATTAATGAAAGAAAAAAAGATTATTATAAATTGCATATATGATTAATCAAATATTACAATTTCTATAATTAAATTATTTATTTTCAGATATTTTTATATATAAAAATGAAATCTTATATTTAATAAATTATAGATGCATTTATTTCTTATTTAAATGCTCTAATAAAAAATAAAGTTCTAATTTTATTCAATAAGAACTTTTTATTTTGACAGAACGATGAAGACGTGATTGCATAAATTTAAAAAAAAAATAACATTTTTCATTAATAAATAATGATATTCATTACTTCTTTGAAATTAATTCATTGAAAATATTAAATTTATTTAAAAATTTTAATGAAAGACAATAAAATTCCTATTTTAATGATTGTATATTAAATCAATGCCTATAACCTATTATAAAAATACTTTTCGAAATAATCAAATTTCATAAATTTATTTATTCAAACATTTTTTTATTATATTTTATAATTGAAATAATTATGAGTACTGAAGGTATGAATTATATTTATATTTCATCTTTTATAAAAAATTGGGCATGCATAAAAACATTTACAAATAATTGTATAATATTATATTATAGAAAAATATAAAGATTTATTGTCTACAAGTATTTTTAATAAAAATTACACTGCATATAAGTCTCAATTTATAGGAATTGATGATAAACCTTATGAAACAAAATGTGTTCTGTGTGATATAAAATTTATACTTCCTAAAAATGAAAAAGAATTCTTAACTCATTTATTTAAAAAGCATCGACTTGTAATAGCAGATGTTTGGAATATTGCAAGTCTGAAAAGGTTTTATTTTATTATTATTATTATTATTATTTAATTTATATATGAAGTAATATATTTAATTTCAGTTAATAATTAAGTTTTTATCAAAAATTTTAATGATTTTCAGCTATGTACATTATTGGAGTGTTAAATTTAAAGAAGAGCCTTTGACTAAATTCTGTACAACAATGTTAATGGATTGCACTCCAGATGGAAAACCAAGCAAAAATGAAAGATATTTTTTACTTTCTGATTGTATATCAGAAGATAAAATTTTAAGAGATGAAATACATCAAGCAAAATTGGTATTAATCATCTATAGAAGTTTTATATAAATTTTTTTATAGATAATTATGAAATATTAATTTTAATTTTAAGGAATGGATTTTATCAGAACAAACAAGAGAAAGAACAGATACTAATTTTAAACGTGGTTGTATTTTTTGTCGAATGGAATTTTCAGGATTACGTATTACATATATAAAACATTTAGCTCAAAAACATAATTTATATCTTGGTAAACCAGATAATTTGGTATTTATAGATGAATTTTTGGATAAAATTCAAACAACTATTGATAAGTGAGATATATAAATATATTTTATATATTATATTCATATTACTAAATAGACTATAGTATTAAACTTTTTTTTTCAGTTTGATATGCATATATTGTGAAAAATTATTTAAAGATCGAACAGTTTTAAAAGAACATATGCGAAAAAAACTACATAAAAGAATAAATCCTAATAACAAGGAATATGATAAATTTTATATAAATAATTATTTAGAACCTGGAAAATCATTAAAATCTAAACAAGTATTTTAAATATATTTTATATATATATAAAATATAATATAATATATTTATAATATATTAATATAGGCACAATTTTGATTAAAATCAATTTTTCAATGCAGAATTCAACATAATTCGATTATATTATATATATTATAAATAT